TTAAAAAATCTGCGCAGACCTACATTTTGTTGCAGATCTGCGCAGATTTTTTAAATTTTTTTCTTTACCAATTGTCGTCAGGTTCGAAGTTTTGCGCAGATTTTTGGACCTGAAGATCTGCGCAAAACTGCGCCCTCGAAAATTTTCTGATGCAATTATTTTTGAATTTGCAATTTTTATGTTATTATTATAACAATAGTTTCTAAAACAGATTGTTTCAATTAAATTCATTCTTAAAATATAAATTATAATTATAATTTTTATTTTATAAAAATAAAAAATATTTATTAATAAAATTGAAAACTTTATATAAACAAAAATTTTATAATTTTTTAATTGTTTAATTTGTTTTTTAAAATTAAAAAAAATAAAAAAAAATATAATTTTTTCTAAAATACAAATTTCCAAAATATTCCAGAAAAAAATAAAATTGATTTAGTAACAATCAAAAATAGTAAACATATAGAAAATATAAATTTTTTCTATTTAAGTTTTTATTTTTAAATTTAATCTGACAAAATTGTTCTAATTATATATAAAATTAATATTTTTTTATAAAATTAAAAACTTTTATATATGAAAAAATTTATATTTTTCATATTTTTACTATGTTTTATTAATAATTTTTTTTGCTATTGCATTATTTTTGTTGTTAAATAAATATGATTATAAATAAATATAATTATAAATAAATATGATTATAAATAAATATGATTATAAATAAATATGATTATAAATAAATATGATTATAAATAAATATGATTATAAAAAAATTTGTTTTAGTTTTTAAAATCTTAAATATTTTATACTATTATTTCTATTATAATTACAGTCAAATCTCTCTATAATCACATTTATTTATAGTCACATCTTTTTATAATCACTCTATTTTGCTTTCCCATTTATCAATAAACATAGTAAATAAAACTCACTCTATAGTCATCCAATTTTGCTTTCCCAAGAATGATAACTATAAAGAAATTTGATTTTATTACTATTATTATAATTACCATCATCATCATCATCAAATAATAAAAATTCAATTTTTGTTGTAATTTTTTTAAAAAGACATAAAAATCTAAACAAGAAAACAAAAAAAATCACTTTAGTATATTTGTATATTAATCTATAATTATATTGTTGAATCCAATAATTTTTATAAATGTGATTATAATGGAATTTTTATATGATAACGAGGGACTAAAAAGATTTGACTGTATTTCATTCAAGCATAAGCAAATCATAAATTTGAATCAAATATCGATATACGTAGTTCTGTTTATCATCCATATCTGGTGCATTCAAACACTGGATGATCAAAAAATCCACATTCTGTAATAAAAAGATATGATATATATATAGGTCAAAAAACATTATTTACCTGAATCGACTAGTGTTTATTTTTCTATACTATCATTATCCATTACTTAGTTCTGTTTTTCTTAGTCGATGTAGAATCTAAAGAAGAATGCTATCGCCATCGTTAATCTTATACATGTATAATTAGTTTCCAAATGGATTATTTATCTTTATTAGAGCTTTTAACTACAATCGAAACATTTTGAAAGAATAAATTATACACGGTTCAATGGTGATTTGCCAGTATAAATGAGACTGTCATAGACCAAGCCAGCTATCAATCCACCAACCACAGGAGCCGCAAGTGGAACCCAGAAATACAATTTTCCCGCAGAAAAAACTTCAAATCCGTAACCAGCAAAGAAAGTAAACAATCGAGGGCCAAAATCTCTGGCCGGGTTTAAACTGAAACCGGTTTCCCAACCGCTAGACAATCCAATAGTGATAATGGTAAGACCAATAATGATTGGCGCAGCAGATTTGAAAGTTGAAGCGTTTCGTTCGTCAGTCACTGTAAGAATAACGAGGAGTAGGAAGAAGGTGCCGAGTGCTTCGGAAAAGAATGCACCGGGTATTGTAAGGAAATCGGCCGGATAGGTTGCGAAAATACCAGCTGTGGCATTTTGACCGGTTACATGCCGATTTCCGCCATCGAATTTCGAGATAGCTGCACTGTAATTTGAGTATACAGCTGCTGCGGCCACAAAAGCACCTAAAGTTTGGGCGGTGATATAGATGGGTACTTTTAGCCAACTGAATTGACGGAATACTGCTAATGTTATCGTGACAGCAGGATTTAAGTGGCCACCCTACAAATATTATCGATAAAAATGAATGTATGTTGACTACATTATAACATTAGAGCAATTGTTGAATTATGACGTACCGAAATTTCACCAGATACACCGATAGCCAATGCCAAACCAAAACCAAACGATAAAGCAATAGTCAACCAGTTGCCCTTTGGACTATCACTTAGGAATTCACTGAGAACTGCTTGGGCAACACCACCGAGACCGAAGGTAATAAAAGTGAAAGTACCCAAAAATTCAGCGAAAGGTTCACGGAATTGATACTTGATTTTTCTCCAACCATGAAGCTCACGATGATGTACTTCTAATCCCGGGGGAACAGCCGTAGCCGTCGACGTCGACTTTCCAGCGCCTGTGTTGTCTTCAACAGCACCATAACTTGAGGAACTTCCTTTGATTGGTCCACGTTCGTCTGCCATTTTTTATAAACCTGTCTTAGTAAAAATAAAATTTTATTATCAATTTTCTTGTAAAAAAAACTACGCGTTACTCACAATTTTGATCGTTAAATTGTTTTAAATACGTTAACCAAGTCTCAAAGAGCAAACTTTATGAATATAAAAAAAGGGAAATGCCATCTACGTTATATAGTAATAGAAACGCCAATTCGTCATTACACAAATAAATAAGCTTAACCAATAAATTTCATTCAAGCAGATCCACACGAAGATTCTTATGATAATGTGCGTTGCTTATATATCTTTAGGTTGATTTTCGGAACAAAACGTTTAAAATCTTGTATTCATACGGATGCATCTATGTACACCCCACCCGATTTGGTAATAACAAAAATAACCAATAGCATTGCGTATTTTCGGAAATTTCTACTGTAATA